GAGTGTATTTAACCGGTCTACTTGGCAATTTTTCCCCTGAATGGTTTCCCTTGCATTTCAGTTTTGCAAGCTAAATACAAAGTAAAGATAGTAGATGGGCATTTGTACTCAAGTTGCTTAGTGTTTGATGATCTGTCTCATTCTCCTGGAAGATATTGAAAAAGTTATATAATTTTTAATTTAACTGAGTGGGCTACTTAGGAAAACCAGTGTGTTTCTGGCAAATATCTGGCAGGCTTTTCGGCCTGTTTTTCTCTTTTATGCTGAACTTGGCATTTGTGTGGGATTCTCCTCTGTGCTGTCTCTGAAACTGGAGAAAAAATTAACTTGGCTATGGTTTATTTGTATTATTAACAGCTCATAATTCAGCTGTAAATCACCTTTATTTATACTGCAGTATTTGAATCCAGCAATAATGAAGTTTCTAATCCTATTAGATTCAAGGCCTGTTGGAATCTGTAGAAAGATGGTTGTGTTGAGTGTAATGTTGCCAAACTTCACAACTCAGTACTGACTGACACCTGAGACGTGTCACCTGTGTCACAGGGAGTGATAACCATTCACCTGATGAATTTGGGACACCCAACTTATCATGTGGATGTAAAATATTACTCTATCTCCTCAGATTTTTGGATTTGTTTGTTTCTAAGGTTACAATCCATGCACCTGAAATTACTGAATTTCTGATACATAGAAATGTATCCATGTCTCATTAAGTGGCATTACTGTGCTTTTAGTTTTTATGTGCTGGCTTTTCCTCCTGAGTTGCTAGAGGTACTTGATTAGGATTTCTTTCCCACTTTTATGACTTTTTGAAAGGACTGTTCAGAATGTTTGAGATTGTGCTCAGATGTGTGTAGCACTTTCTTAGGTGTGATGCTGTTGATGACAGGATCAGTCCCTAGGTTTTGGGTTTTGCTTCAGTCTGCACGTACTTGGATTAGAGGCAGCATTTTGTCTGATAAGATCATATTTTACATTGTAAATGAGTGTGCTGCTGATGATATAAGTGTTAATAGGATGACGGAAGTGTCTGCTAATCTGAGTAAAAAGTCACTTGAGCAGTGGGAGGAACTTGATCCAGTCTCAAGTCCTGTAAGTGTGTCTTCTTGGATGAGTTAAGTTGAAATCTGGAGTGGAATAGCAGATTTTTTTATTGCTGTAGTCAAAAACTCAACAGCTCTAGTGATGTTAATTAGGCTCAAAGTGCTAAGATTTTTTGTGAGTTTTCAAATTTTTCAGCATTTTGAAAAGTAAGAGAGCAGAGTCGCTGTTCTGAAGAGCTCTTTGTCACTGCTCCCTGCAACACTGCTGACACACTCCCAGAGGAGTGGAAGCCACAGGGATTTGGGAGTTGCATGTCCTGGGCAATGCGTGGGAATTGTTCCCCGAAGGTGTGGGACCCTATTTCACATTGGTACAACTGTAGTAAACCAAGAGTTTATGTCAATGCTGTAAATCTGTTTTATTAGCACAGCTGCCATTTCTAATACTTCCACTTTGGATTTATGCTGGCAAGAAGGCTTGGTGGCAAGTGTGACAGGTGCAATAGCATCTTCCTGGAACATTGTACCTCTTGAGAGTCTCCAAGCTTTTCATCCAGGACTCTGTCCTTCCCCTGTTAGAATTGTGAACATAGTTTAACCAAGTCTCACCTGTCTTTCAGACAGCATTCTAGGAATGTAAAAGTGATCCCTGGGAAAACTGATGTACGGGCCCACAGCAATAGTGGAATGGCTCTGCTTTTTCTTGCCGTGGCTTCCATACTCTTCCTTGCCTTGCTGTTGGTGATAGGTGAGTGGTCATCCCCAATGAGATCTGAGCTTTCATATTTTTGTTGCCAGTAGTTTTGGTGGTCTGAGAGGTGAAGGAGATCCATGGTGTGTGAGACAGCTTTTGTGTAGGCTGTATGAGCTGAAAAAGATGAAGAAATGGATCTTTCTTGTTCTGTAGGCTAAGCTGGTCTTCTGGTATCAGGATATTAGGAATTGATTTACACCTTGTGTACAAAACTAGAGTAGCTGCAATTTAGACCAGGGGAAATAATTATAACCATTCTTTTGCCAGTACAATATATGTCATTTAAGGAAATAGTTTAACTGTGTTATAGTTTTTCTTGTTAGGAGACTCCTCTCTGTCAGAAATTTTCAGTGTAACCCAACTAACACAGTTCTTGCAGTGCAGATTAGCCATCTATTTCCTGCCTTTGGCTTAGTCTGAAATGAGCCTTTTACATGGGCCCTGCCCACTTTTAACAGGTAAAATCAAACACAACAATATCCTCTTGGCTGGAGTGACACTGTTAGTGGAGGTTGACTATAAAGTTACAGCAATATATGTACTTGCATGTATTATTTTCCTTAGGAAAAAAAGATTCAAACTGCAGTGGTTCCCAAGTGCATTTTTAATGGCCATGTAGGTGAGGTGTTGCAGAGGAAGCAGCTCTCAATGACAGAGCTCCAGGGAGGTTTGTGTATGCATACAGCAAGCAGAGCTGATGTGAACAGTGCAGCAGAGAGCAGAGATTGACTCTGTAGCCATGAGTGCTGTCACCCCAGAAAAACAGGTCTGGAATTGAGTCACAGCTCTCAGCATTCCTTGCTGTTTTACAAATAGCTACTCTTGTGACAACTTCCCAGCAGATCTGCCAAAGAAAATCATATGTAAGTTATCCTTTACCTTATGTGACAGAAAAAGCACAGATAGAAGCAGTTTGCACAGTGATCCTTATAAACAATGGTCTAACAAGGCTCCATATGAACAGATTTTTACCATTCAGTCTTAATTTTTAAAAAAAGGTTAAAATTTCAGAGTGCTGGGTATTTTAGGATTCCTCTCTGGTTTTCCTTGCATATTCTGTATTTATTGCTATTGCATTTTTTTTTCCCTCAAGTGACCCTTACTGGTTAGAGTAGATCCATTTTGATGAAGACTCAGACTGTTCAAACTGTAGTGATGATGGTTGTTTTCAGTTACACCAGGAGAGCATGGGGTGGGTGAGGCAGGCAAAAGATGGGTGTGTTCTCACAAGTAAGGCAGTTTTGTGTTGCTTCTGGAGCTTGAGCCTCATCCTGCCTGTGCCATAAAACTTCCCCCTGGTCAGGCCATGTGTACATGTGCACAGGCTCCCCAAGGGATCTCTGGCTTGAAGCAGAAACAGGGACTGCAGGCAGGGAGAGTTTCCCACGTGCTGTGTGGTCGCAGAGGGCTCTACTCCCTGGTATATTGTGCAGTGAAAGCTCAAGTTACGTTCTTGGTGAATTCAATTCCCAGCTTGGTTCTCTACGTGTAATATAGCAAGAGGATTCTCTATAGAGTTAGCTGCTAATACAAAAGCCCCTCATGCTTGGATGCAGCTGCTAGTGTGTACACCATGAAAAAAACGGATACAAAGTTTTAAAGGTCTGTTAAGGCTTAACTGAAGCTTTTGCATTTTTTTTTGCAAACTGTGACTAGCCACTCAATGGAGTAAGCAGGGCTGGGGGCTTGGCAAGAAGCATAGTATGACTTTATGCCTATGATTTTATGTGCCAATACACACTGATTTACAGTTTCAAAAGTAACTGCGCTTCTTTTGTTTTGAGGTGTTGGTAACTCTTACAGTCCTGAGACAGAATACTTCAGATAATCCAGCCTAGACACTTTATGCTTTTAAAGAGCATTTAGGAGTCCTCTGATGACTTTGTTAAAACCACTTTTCTTACTGATGCAATTGGTCTGCATATATACATTTTAGCAATTTAGTTGAAACATGGAAACATTAAATGTGAGATCAATAGGAAGTAATGGCCTTGAGCCTATTACCTCACAGCAGGGGAGGGAGAAGCCTGAAAAATATTTGCTGGAAAAATAAGAATGAAAATGTAACCTATTTCTCTGTTATTGGAAAAATTTCCTAGTGCACAAAAGATGTAATGTTCTGTTTCTCAACAACACTGTACAAGTCAGGCTACTGATGCAGAGAAGTTCACAGTGACATGTCTTTGTCACTGAGCTGTTCTGACCAATTCACTTCCCTGAGCAGGGCCTGACTGTTCAGACCTCCTCAGCAGTTCAGAGAAGAGGAACTTGAGGTATTCCAGAACCAAGACCTCCAGTTACAATCTGTTTTGATTCCAGTGGAGAAAGCCTCCACTTCAGAGCAGCAGCTGCTTCTTCAGAGGCACCCATGGCATTGTATTGTGATTTATGGCAAAAGGATAGGTTTGCAGTCAGATGTTTTTGCTAGCTGTGCCTGACTTTATTCTTTTCTCCATTATGTCTGTTTGATGTATTAAATAGGAGTCCAGTATGCTCTCAGGTGAAGAGAGAACAGTCAGCTACTGCAACTCTAGTTGCATTTTTAGCCAGAATTTAGTCATCATGGCTTGTTAATGATGCTCCAGGAGCTTTTAACAGAATCTTTAGGTTCTGTTCCTTATTCAATACACTGGACTAAAGTGAATTTGAAAGGGATGAGAAAAAAGCAATTGTGTACCAGTTTCTGAAAATACATTTAGAAAAAGTTGCTAGGAAAAAAATCTGTTCATCCTCTCATGGGTAAGTAACACTCTGTGGACCAGGAGCATTAAAAAAAAAAAAAAAGGAGAAACTTTTATCTTGGAGGATAATTAAGATATCTCGCCCTATGCTAACTCACTCCTTGCAACTTACACTGATGAAAATCAGATAGCATGATAAGGTGGACAGAGAAATTCTGTGAATCTTTCTTTAGTTTACCATTTTGCTACAGGTCTCTCTGATTTCTAGAATCAACTAATTCCCCCCTCTATATGAGCACAAAATGTAAAAAAGAATGGAAATAGTACTATCTCTCAATAAACATAGTCTCACTCAAGTATACCAACATCACTTTTTGATGGGATGGAACACAACACTAAATATATCTGTCACATATATTAAAATCATGCCAGGAGAACAAATGTTAATGCCATCTGAAAGCTGGGGACAGTGTTTCAGCTCTCCAAGAGTGAGTTGGCAAACATGAGAGAAAACATCTATCAGAAATACACAAAGTAGCAATTTATTCAGCATTATTTTAACTGTTAAGGGTGAAAGCAGTAGAGTCTTTCACCAAATACAGTCAGCACAGATTCATCCATAGGTTAAGCCCTCTCTAACATTATTAGTACAGTGGCTGGGAATAATGTTCACAGACTGATTTGAATTTTTTTTTTTTATTTGAGCAAAAGATTTAGAGATTTATCAAGAGACACAATTTTATGATTCTCCAGAAGCATCTGATCGGAATTTTCCAAGTCTTGTGTTTTCTATTGTTTTGTCTGTTTTCTTCTTTCTGAGTTTGTTCTGTCATCAGAAAACTACCCTTGCAAGTTCAAACAGAACCTGTGGAACAGCAAACACATTGATGTGAATTTTTATTTTATTTAAAAGTCTTTAAACCAGTTTACACTATAAATCAGATAATCTGAAAAGTAACTGTAGCTGCAATTTGAAAGTTGCAAAGAACAAATACTAATCCCCAGGTACATCACACTAATACAGTAATCTTAATTCTCAAAGTATGAAGTATAGAAATTGCACTTATTGTTATTATGTTCTTAATATTGAAAAAAGTCCCACCAACCTCTATGGTGATTAGTATTACTATCATCCACTCAAGGCGCAGCGCGTGCTTTTCATTCAGGTGATTTCGCATTAGGTCTGTCAGCTCCATGCAGTGCTGGAGCTTTTCATTCATTACCTGCAAGCAATTACAAACATCATGAATCTGGACTCCAGAAATGGAATCAGATCACTGAATAGGGAAACATACTCCACAGAACTAGAAAGGGGTTAACACCTCTGCAAAACAGAATAGAAAATTAATAGAACAGAAAATTCTGTAAGACACAAGCAACAGAAGCTTCAGTATAAATGAACCTGTTATTTCAATGGGTTCTCCAGAAGAATATAAATTTAGATATGCATCTACAGGTATTGAAGTATTTCTGGGTGATACCTACTCATGAAAACAGTCATAAGCAAAAGGAGATACAGTTTACTTGGAATGCCTCAAAATTAAATATTTATGATGGCTGTACCAGCAGGAGAGGTAGTTTTCGTGCTTCTTATTCTGGTTCAGCAGTAAACATTATGTCACCCTTCAAGGACTGATGTGAATGATCATGTCAATAAGAAGAATCCACTTCTCAGTTCTTCTAACTATTTAAATCCTGATTTAGTGGCTCCGGAAATAAATAATTCATGTGAGGCAGGTTAACCTAAACCAGGGAAAGGTGCGAGTGAGTTAATAACACCTGGAAACGGGAAGAGTGTATGATGCCTTATTAGTTATTCCCTTTCTGCAACTGAAGCACATTCACAGAGCAATCTGTGACCCTGCTGAGCCAAAGACAACTGATCTGAGCGTGGAAGATTCTCACAACAGTAAGACACTCACCTTAACTCTGCGATTAATGTTGAGAAACTGGCAAGTCTTGTCATAAAGCTCTTCCAGTTTTTCTCTGTCCCAGTAGAAGTCTGGTGTTATTAGCAGGTCTGAGCTCAGATTTATACGGTGTCTAAAAAGAATGGGTACTACTGTAGTTCAGGCTTCCTCTTGGTGAATATAGAAGCAAATATTTACATGCAGTTAAATGAAGTAAGAAAATTTTCCTGTAATTCCACATAAAATATGAAAAGAATCTCCTTTCATAGTAAAAATGCTATTGGAGTGATTATTTAAAATTGGTCACATCTCCTGAAACTTTTCTGTGGAACTCTTTTGAACATTAATGACTTTTTCCTTATGCCATCACTGCCTCCTCAACCTGTCACCTTCCTTAGTTTTCGATACCTGTAGAGAGGTCCCTGACTATGCTGGTGTCTCACTGAAGCAGTGCACAAAATAACAATACAGAACTCCTAAATGTGACTGGTACTGCATGCTGGATATGTGTGTGGAGCACACCCCTCAGAATCAGGCACTGGTCTAAGCATCATAAAGGCTAAAAGCTAAAATCTCCTACCTTCAATGTATTGCTAACATAAACCTTTGGATACCTGGAACATTATTGTTGATTACTGATCAGTCCTTCAAGTACCCCCGTGTTTGAAACAGGAATTGTTTTTTAATTTTACCTTGGAGATTTTGGTAGGATTTTTTTTCCTTTTCTTTTTTTCTTTTTTTTGAGTGTGTAATGGTCTGTATTGTCAAAGGCCAAATTTCACTTGAGGGAGGAAAAAACATTAAATACAATGACTTATTGATTTTGTGAGTAAGTCGGGGAAGAACAGAACTCAAAAAAGATTTTTACCAACTCTAGGCTGTAGTTAACAGTTCTACACCTACCCACCTTTCTCCTGGTATCCTTTACATGCTGTAGTATCTACTGCAATTACTAGTTTAAACACGTGTTGCTGGACTCAGGAAGGGAAAGGGGTGTGGTATTTGGTCATTTATGATATACTGCCTGCTTAATGCCTGCAGTTGAAATGCCGGTGTGAGTGGTGAGCCTGTGGGGTCCCCTTAGTAATGTAAATAGCACACAGACTCCAGTCAAAATAAGGAATTCTCCCACCCTGTCTCAACCTGCTCATTTTAGTGTGTATTCTTCTCTTCGTATCCTGCACAATGTAACTTTTACATTCTGTGTAATACAATGTCTTAGGTGTAACTAAAGAAGTTACCTTAGTGCGAAGAGTTCTCCAATTTTCTGCATCACATCTGCATGAGAGAGTTTTACCTTCCTTCTTGACTTTAGAATCTGAAAAGTAGGAAGTCCTTCACTGCTTGATCAAGTAACATGTACTAGTAGTTAAGAAGTCCAGAGTTTTACAGCCTGAAGTATCTTAGAATCTAAATGCATAGTGTACTTACTAACATTTAAGTTTTGTTTGTTTAAATGCTTTGCTTCTGTAGCTTTCTAAGAATATCACCGTGCAACTGGTTCATCCAGGCTTCTCAATAAATCATTGAGTATGTCGCCAGCAGCCACAGAAATGCTGGGGCATTTTCTCTAAATGTTTTCCTGAACAAGAGATGATTTGTTCTTCCTTCCTGCTGTTTTTATTTTAAAGTCATGACAGTGTTCTTTTACCTTGCCTCTCCTTAGCGTTTTTACAGACTTTCTTCTTATAACAATCAGTGTATTACCGTTTATTTCCTTCATATAAAAATAATAAACCCAACGTTTTCTCTTTTGAACCCCACAAATCTCAATTTTATATGTAACATCATATGGGCTTTGTGCTGTAATTACATCTCATGAAAAACTTTTAAGTAATTCACTCAAACTCTTTATTATGTTCAAGTCAAAGCACATTATTTTCAGCCCAAGTTAGCACACACTGTGTTTGGCCAGGTTTTTAAATGCTGCTTGTCCTGTTACACATACATTTCACCAGTAGCAAGTGACAGTGGCACAATAAGGGAAACATTATTACAGTACAGAACCACACTCCCAGCCCTTTAAAGGCTGATGATTTCTTGTCCAACCACTTTGCAGGTGTTCTGAGCTTCTCTGCACTGATGGATTTACGATCAAATATGTTCAACATTCAATTCCTTTTTCCCTATCCTCAGCTACATAAGGACTGATCTTTTACAAAACACAGGAGAAAAGGAGGGGAACAAGACCTCACCTCAGGAATTGACTGGATAGATTCCACAAAGTTATCCAGTAATGATTCCCAAATAGCTAGCTTCACTGCAACACAAAGATGACAAAGCAGAAGACTGTGAGAAGTACATATGCTTTCAAGTAATTCTAACTTAAAATCTGCCAACAGGCTGCTTCAGGACATGTCGATGCTTAGGGACATTATTTGCAGCAAGTTACAGTTTGTACTATGCAATCACTGTTCATGTACCAGTGGGCAGATCTGGGCTGGGCACTGACAGCTCTGCACACAGAACCAGCTTCACCATGAGCGCAGCTTTCTTCTGCAAGTGATCAGTTCAGATCCTGGAGAGTTTTTCCTTCAGCTCAGAAGTTGTGTGTCCAAGTGCTCTACTGGATGTGTGAGCCCTCTGCAAATTACATTCCAAGGAGGCTAGAGATAATGAACTATGCTGGCGTCAGGCTGACTTCATGTGGCACCTCAAGAGCCTCCACTGCATTTCTAGTGTCCTGCACAGCTCTCATTCTCCATCTGTGCACTATTAATGCACTGTGCTCCAACCACAGAGTTAGCTTCTATAGACACACCACTTGCTCCTGTTGAAGCTCAATCCAAACTTGAGCAATTTTCTGCTTTATTTTTAGGTGAGTGTACTGTTACTGAAGATAGCAACTTCTGTTCTATGGAAGCTTGAGTTCAGCACTGGCATTGGCAACACAGATTCTGCTATGCCTCAGCTTGAACCTAGTAAAATGTTTCTGCAAGATGATAATAAAACTTGGGCCTTGTTCTTTAGTCCACAGATTCCCAGACAAGAAAGAAGTAGCAACAGATCAAAAATTAACTCCATTCAATCTGAAAAAATTAATCAGGGAAGATTTAATTATCAAAATGAACTCTTCTGTGGTAGTAATCAATAGTATCATCTGGTTAGGACACTGCCAGTAAACCCAGTGCTGAGCATTTTGCACGCTCATCTTCTGAATACAGAGGCCTAATCCAAGTCACTGACTTAAATGACTTCAAATTTAGCCCCTGAAAAAAAACAACAGCCAGTAAGCATTTCATCTGTCACCTGTTATTTGACAGAGGCTGGTTTCTGCCATTCATAAATTTGACTAGGGACTATACTTGCATCCTTTATTTTTACTGAACATAATCTCCTGGCAATAAATCCCTGCTCCCTTTTAGGAGGCACTACTCTTCCATACAGTCCCTTTATGAATAAGAAAACTATAGAGAACAATATGCTTTTTTTTCTCAACAGGTCTTCCTTCAACAGTCAAGAACCATTTACTTACACTGCACTCCTTGATGAAATGGTGTAGCACTTAAAAAATGTGCATTCTGTTTCTCTCCTGTGTAAAGGTGCACTTTCCCAAAATACTACTGGAATCCTGGAATTTACCCCAAAGGCAGCAGAAGTAGATAGACCAGACTTCCCTTAAAGGCCTTTGTGAGGACAGCCTTACTGCTGCTGGTTCCTAACTCCCACTCCCTCCATCGTTCAAGGTCTGAAGCAGTAGACAGGTGTTATTTGCTCAAGCAGCAGGATGACTGGTGAACCTGACTTCTTCACAGTGCCTCCCACTGTCTGCTATCATAGCTAATAAGCCTGCAAAACATTATCTGTGACTCTGGTTCACATATGTGTTACTGATACACCTCCCCAGCTGGGAATAGCTGTCCTGTATCACTTCTTCAGCTGGCATCTAGCTTTTTCTGTCAGAGGAAATGATGTCAGTATGAGTTACTCAAGATTCCTGAGAGGTTTCTAATACTGAACTCTACACTCATTGTTATCCTAGGATAGTTCTCAAAGGTGGGGAACAGGATGCTCAGTAGAATGTGTATCTTTTGCAAAGCATGTTTGTTAATGTGCTTTGTTCAGCTTTAAAAAGGTTTCCATTGAATAAAGCAATTCCAATTTACAGAAAACACGGTAAAAGCATTGAAAACAAATCCTCTCAATCTGAAGCACAATCACTCTTTACACAGTTTGTCTAAACCAGATACCAAGTTTTTTCCAGCCTGTCACTGTACAAGTCCCACTTAAAATGATATTTCACAAGATCTGTAGCATAGACTACATAGTACAAACAATATTAACTTACCAGAAAGACAAAGAGCATTTGAAAAGGCAAATTTCTGCAGCACAACTTCATCACTATCCAGCTCAGAATTTAACAAGATTTGTCCTTTATGGAGCTTTGACTGACCTCTGTTAAGACAAGATGGAAGCATCTTCATTGATTGAGCCACCAGCATAGGAACATTTAAAGAATAATCGACAGTGCAAGAAAGGCTGGTTGTTTATTTAGATAAGGCATGCCATGTCTGTATGGTATCATCCCCATCCTTGCATTTTACTCATGTTCAACCTGACAATATTCACAACAAATCACTGAAAATTAGTTCCTCAGTCTAAGACCAATATTATGGCCAAATTTTCTAGGAGTAAATGCAAGTGCAGCAAGCTGTGATGGGAACTGTAGCATTGCTGCATACACACAGATTATTCAGACTAAGCAGGATGCTGGCCTCTCTCCTGCTCTTTAGCTTCTCTGTTATCTTTCTGGTTTCATTTTCCACTGTCACTCTTATCAACCTTACTCCCTCCTCACTATGATGTTGCTTTCCCTAAAACCTCTATTGCATAGGGGGCAAGAAAAAAAAAAAAGGGGACAAAAGACTTGTTCAATTTTTCGTGTCAATCTCACTATGAAACCCGCAGAAGCAAAATAGAACATGTCAACAATCGCAAATCACACAACTAAAAAGTACATGCAGTTTTCAAATGGTCAGGAAAAACCAAACACCTATCTTCCTTATCAAGTTACTTTAAATAAGCTGAGCATCATTCATTCAGTTCCTAGTATTAAAAGTGTCCTGTCTAGGGCTTGCTTTTGTGTGCTGTTGGAAAATTACAGGTAATATATATAATCCTTTTCATTGTGAAATTTCTGAAGAGATGATTTTCTTTCTATGATGAAAAAACATTATTTAACAAAGAAAGATAACTTGCCAGGTTTATCATTACACAATAATCAAGCTGTAACTTTCCTACTAAATGAAGTATATGCAGAAATGACATCTTCGTATACAAATCTCAAGGACATGGAGAAAACTTACAGAGAGCATCCTCTTTAAAATCAGCCTCATCTCAATAATACTTATTAGTCTTTTTGCTGTGACATACATAGTTTCTGTTTCGGATTGCTGAAGAGTTGTGTGGGCAGGGAACTTCTTATTTACAAGATTTATTGTATAAGCAAATCACAAAGGCCACTACCTGCAAGTTTACCAAGAATTTATCCACTCAGATTTACAGTTTTATTTCTTTATTTTACTTGTTTGGGAAAAAAGTAAGGACAAGTATATTTTTAGTAGCTGAATTACTTTTGCTTTAAATTGGTTTAGGTGTCTGTTAGCTTTTATATACAGAACACCTGAAGATACTTACTCTCCTATTCTATAGTTCAGCTCTTCATTCTCCCAATGGACCAGTGCAACTTCGTATGGCTGAATTTCATGGTGCTCTAGCACTCGCATGATATTCTTCATCTAAGAAGGAGACAATTGCAGCAATATTTACCATGCAGTAAATTATCACTCTGCAAAGAACATGCATAGGGCAGGCTGATGAATGCAACCTTCATGTTGAAGTTATTTACCTAACAATGAAGAGGTGCACTAAATAATGAAGTTATTATTAACATAGTTTACTTCTGAAACTAGTTGTGGTTTGAGAAGAATTTGTAGCTATAACAACTTCAAGGACTCTGGGAAAACTGAAATGTCATTTTATATGTGCACACATGGAACAGGGTAAGGATTAACCACAGCAACAGTAAGGGCAACATGGATGTATTCTGTATTATAACAATGAGCTGTACTAGATTTTGGCAGATGTCTGAGTGTGGGAATGAATTTTTAGGAGAAGTACCTTAGGTGGTTGTTTCTGATAAAATTACTAGTTTGCTGCTAAATCAGTAGTTTTGTTTTTGATTGCTGCTGTAATTAGTAGTCTTGTTTCAGCTACCAGAGGTCAGTTCTATTAAAACCCTTTACCACTACAAAAATCTGGAAAATTTGTTTCAGCTGCCACATTCATCCCTGTAAATAGTAAAATGTGCAATTTTAATTGCAAAAGTAATCTCACTGCTCCTTTATTCTCCAGCATACTAAAACCTGATGTAGGAAGAAAGCGCCCTTTTCTCTGACAAAATTTTCTCCTCTTGACATCTGACTTAGGCTTTCTCATCCTTGTTCCTTTTTATATGCTACAAGGCTCCCCTCAAAAAAATCAACTGCAATTAGAACAAATTCTGAACTAAAAAAGCACTCACCTATGAGTTTTTAAAAGGCATTTAGCTACACAACAGCCAACAAAAATACTAACCACAAAACACTTTTGATGCCTAAATTCTTTAGAGTTCAATCTTCTACTAAGTCACTTAAAAAACACTCTCTTTTTAGAATAAAAGATCATAGTTCATCTTTTAGCACAAAACTGTACCCTATAAATTTTTCATAAAGCATATTCTCCAGGTAAAGTACTTGAAAAAAAATCTGTTGGATCACCTGCAAGAGGGATTTTCTTTGCACTGCTAGCTTTCTTCATTGCTTTCAAGAATTTTGGTGATACTATCTATCTATATAACACAGTAACATTTTTCACTGAAACAAACCCCCTCAATTGTACAGCTGAAACAGCTCCTTTTGTAATCCTGAATTGAATATTAGTATGACTAAGATTTGCCATATAATTCTAGTCTTGTGATAAAAAAGGATATGAAAACATAGGAAGCATCTGCTCTGAGGCCAGTCACCTCAGCCAAACAGCAGTGTCCACAGTTCAGCAGTGCAAACCTCACACTGCTTCTAGGCCCAGCCTAATTTTATAGAAGGGACTAGTTGTGACACAGTAAAATTAATTAGAAGAGATGTTCTGGAGTCACTAGCTGCAAACTCTTGCTATTATGGGCACTTACGTCACACAGTTTCCTTTTAAAAAAACCTCAGAGCTGTTTTTTCTTTTTGCCCTTGTTATTTTGGTAAGGAAGCTGCAGTACAACCTTCCTACTCAGGTATTTGAAATTGGTATTTTGTATTTTAAGTTTCTTTTTGTGATCAGTCTGTATTTGTTACTTCTTATGTTAAATGTCTGTTAATTTAAAATATTTTTTTTCTCCTACTAGTCATTTTGGGGTACTTTTGTCCATTTGCAGTGACACTCTACATTCTGTTTTACTGAATTACTTTCAGTTTCTGTTCTACAGACCAGTTTGGGGTTTTTCTCCTTTCATTTCAGTTCATTAAAGCATGTCCATAAAAACACTTCCTGTATTTGAGGAAGTCGTTTGGCAGTTAAAGCTTTGACTATGATTTCAATAAACAGAAAGGGGCATTTTTCCTCCTCTTTTATAAATAAAGCTAGCAACGGACCAGCTACTGATACTAGTATTGACCAGGAAAACAAGGTATCAAATTTTCAAAGGTATTTAAGCTTGTACAACAACAGGAGAATTTTCAGAGTACTCCAGTGGGCTAAGGTGTTCAACTCAAAGATCATCAGGAGTTAAAACAGCTTGTCTTCAGTAACACTTGTCGATCAGTAGTGTAGTTACAGCCACAGCATCCAAACAGGCAAGGTTTGAAGGGAGAACTGGTATCTTTTTGTAAGACACCTGATACACTGACACCCCCCAAAACAGAAAAGAAATCAGGAACATTTCAGTTGTGAAACAGAAGAAGTGAACTTGAATCCAGAAATTGTTCATATCTGGAAACAACTGCTCTGTGTTTTCATTTACCCCAATGAAAATCCTCCTGTGAACTTCTATGCATCTCAGTATCATTTATTTAATACACCATTTAATTTCACATTGTCCATCTACAAATAAGGTCAATACTTTTTGTATCTAGAATCCAGTTTAACCACAGTAATAAAAATATATTTAAAACATTAAATAACTATAAATGTATTCATTAGAATAGATATGCTTCTGGCATACCCTTCTAAGTCAGCAAAGATCACCAAAATAGTATATGTCAGCAACATATTTAATAATTATACCATCCCATAAAAAATCTCCTTCAGGAAAATTGCTGGTTGGTAAAAACACAGAACAGTATTAACAAGTTGCTTATAATTCTTTTTTCTCTTTCAAAGTTGTACAAACATAACTGACTTAGATGGAATAGAATAGAATAATCCTTCTAACATATTTTCTGTTACATTAGTGCTTTTCAAACAATCATTCACAGGTAGATTTTTCTGATCTACTTTTTCAGGATGTAGAACTGCAAGAATATTCTTTTTGTCAGTCTCACTAAATTAAGGTTTTAGATTTTTGTCTTAAGTAGATGAATTTCAAAGGTGATGTATCAGCAGCCCACACACTTGAGGGCAGTAGAAGGCAAGAACCTGCACTCACTGGAGAATCAATCAGTTTTTTTCCTTCATAGAAAGATCAATCTCCCAAACACTAGCATGCTGAGCTTTGTGAGACTGACAAAACACCTGCTTATGCAGTTTTAACCAAGTTTCACTTTACTTACACTTTTCTCTTCCACATTCCAAAATACAACAGCCCCTTCCCTGTGAATTCAAGGAAAAACTGAGTGTAATCATACTGTTTTAAATGTATTTTAATGGAATACTGAAATTGTACAGTGGCAATTTTTGTCATTGTGAATCAAGAAACTTAAAACTATCTTCACAGAAATTACATAGTAATTGCTTTTTAACCATACTTCAATGAAAAACAATGAGAAGGTGTTTCTCAACCATTTAAATAATTCTTATTTTTTTTTAGTCATTCTGACTGGACAGTTATTCCTTGAGTTTCATGAGGTAATATGATTCAAGATCTAGCAAGCTGCACTGCTTCCTTCACACCATTACTATTAATGACTTAATGTTTTGAGCATGATTTGTAGCTTACCTGAAGAAAAAAATCATGCCAGGATCATCTTCTTTTGCAGATTTCTCAGTACTGACCACCAAAACATTTGCAGCATCTGGTTTGAAATAAGTGAAAAAATTGAATATTTAGTCAAATTTCTAAACATGACAGCTGATAGCTGTAAGCCTGTAATTCAACAGTTGCATACTAACATATCAGCCAGTCCCACATTTTATTTTTTGATAGAAATGCTTGCCAGGGACCAACTACAATATCACACTACACTGCTTCTCTGAACTAGAGAACACATTCTAGACCAACTGGGCCTCTGCCCATAACCTCATCAGAATCTTCAGCTAATGAAAGACAGTAGCCTTGAAGAACAAAACACTTAGGAGAACACTGATTTGTAGACATTGTAAATAACCAGGAACAGAATACAGAAGTGGACATACAATGTGAGAGAACTGTGGAAGTTCTGCACAGTTGCAGAAAAATTACCAGGCAAATCTGCTTGCCTGGAAGCTCTTCATTTCTATACACTAAAGGATTAATTTGCACTCAAATTGTGCTGACTTTGCTTTGCCAGTCAGAAACTTGAAAGAGTGCACCCCCAAGACAGGAGAGCCTACACCTGCAGTTCCCTGCACATCAGAAGTGTGCTTTTGAAACAAATCTTCCACCCACTCTCCCTTACCACACTTCTGATGTGCACTGCACAACAGTACATAAAATGTGAGGGTTTTTGCATTAAATTAAAATGAAAGAGAAGCTCAAAAAAAAGTTCCTGTGGTACTCCAACCACTAAATGGGGCATTTGTTACAAAGGATTAGACCAGAGCTAGTCCAAGTAATATATCTCCAAACTTACAAAACGTGGTTGCTGGGCTCTCAAAACAGGGGTTTGATTTTTCTTCTACAAATCTTCTCCACTGTGCCACTCAATAATACAGATGGAGTTTTAGAAGTCCTGGTGTGGTTTCAAACCAGCATGACTTGTTTTGTTGCAGCACTAGTGGAAGCCATACCAGGAAAGCCCCCTACTTCTATTTAAAGTGAGACTTCACAAAGATTTTTGCAGGGTCTACCAGCTAAGCCTTAAAAATTTCAATGCTTTTTCAGGAAAATCACAAGTCAAGTGAGGGGTATCAAATGTTGTTACTTCTGCTTGTGTACAAATTCTACCTTCTGCTTTACTGCTCAGGCCACAGAGGCCAGGTAGACTGAGGCAGCAGAGAGACAACCAAGTACCAGATACACTTTTGCTAATATCTGAATTGGGACCACACGGTTGGTCTGAATGAGCCCTTGAAGACTTTTCTTCCATTTGCTAGTCCAGTTCAGAAACACCTAACTGGATGAATAACTAGAGCAATTTTAGGTGTGAAGTTTGAGTTCATCACGGAAGTAACATCTGTCTATGTTTTCTCATTTGCCTTTTAAAATACCAGGTATATCTTTATTTATCTGCTCCAGCCAAAACATACACAATTGAAGAGAATTTTGTCTACTTTAAGTGGAGGTGCAGGATCTGCCTCTAAAATGTTTTTAAAGAGGTCAAAACAAAGAATAATGCTTTGGAAAAACACTACAAAGCAACAAATTCACACCATAACTGCTGTTTTAGATTTCTATACAGAAACATCTTTAAAAATTATTTTTCCAGATTCAGTGTTTGGCTTGGTAACCAGCCACTGCTACATGCACATGCCAACCATCACAACACTTCAGATCTGCTGGCACAATCCAATACCCTTTCATCATTACTTCCTCCAAACCTTTGATAAACAGTACTCATTATGAGTCAAAAACACCATGAAGAAATAAAAGGAATTGGTAAAACTGACACTCCCAGGGTAAAATAACATCAACAGTAACATTTAATTCAGGGTCATGCTGGGGGTTTGTACAAAGTTTCTATCCCAAAGCTGTGAAACCAGGGTTAATTTTAATACAAAGAAACTACAAAGGAACATGAAGCCTCTATTCTAGTGGGTATTATCATTCATGTTCATCTTTCTGAACAAGACAATCACTAGTAAATCTTGTGCTTGAAAGAGACCCGCTGGAGTGTTACTGCACTTAGATTATTATTTGAGAGGCAGCCAGGCTTTTGATACCCCTACTGAAATGCCCATGAACTGCCAGTGCTTCTCCTAGTTTCATATAATCTGTTCTTTCAAAGGAAAAAGAAAAGGCATTCTACTACTGACATATGAAAATCACAGCTGTTCCAGGGAGTAAGGTTCCTTGAGCTATAATAAGATCAATTTGTTTTTCTTTTGTAGTATACTGCAGCTATTTTCAAGCCATACTTTCCCAAGTCTGCAGAGATGCTTTATATTGAAACCAGAATCAATTATTTTGCTGAAGCCTGCTTAAGTGAAGTGTTCAACAGTTGCTAGGATATATTTGGCACAATAAAGAAGTATCAACAGCATTCTCTCTACTAGAACTAAACAACTTATGTATCTTTTTCATTTCACTTAGCAAGATTCTCTCTTGCCTTCTTCTCCAACGCTGTGATTTACATTAATAGAAATCTAGGTACAGAAAGAAGATGCAACACTTCAAACTACAGAATTGTTTTGACAGCTGATGTACTGCACCACCTCACTACTGAAAGATTAATTAAAATAAAACATTCAAAAACTAACACTCAGTTAGTGAATTTCTGTAGAAATTCTCTGTATCAGTCAATTTCCAAAGTTATTTTTCATGCATGCATGTAATTTTTCTTAACTTCTAATGTAATTGTAATGTTGGGAAAAATTATCAGAGGGTAAGAGCAAGAGCTACTCACATTGCTATTCTGAAAGGTTTTGTTGTGGGGACTTTTGGGCAAATAGAATCTTTAAGCAAAGCAATAATTTTACAGGCAGTACGATATATTCCAGGATATTATGAGAATAAGAATACATAAGGTTACAAAAATTATATCCCTCACCCATATTTTATTTCCCAAGATATAACATTGCATTTAATATGTTTCAAAAATCTACCTCTAGGCAAACTTGTTATTTCAACATATCCATGTGAAGTCAGGTCATGACACAGATTACCAAGATGATATTCATCTGCTGTTGCAAAGGCTGTGCACTGCATCAGATTCTGTGCCAAAGGAATAGAGATTTGAGTTAGGGCAAGGCTGAAGCAAGATGGTAATAAGACAACTGTTTGCTTCAAATTTATTAAGAGAGTGACAGTTTTAACTTATGCACTGTTCTGTGGTATCATTGCCATGATTTCCACATGGTGTACATATACTAACAAGAATACTTGCTCCTTGTTAAGTGGGAAAGCAAATCTCACACTGAGAACAAGTCACGTGGCACGAGTGAAATCGCAAGAAAAAACTCTATGACAGAGCCACAAAGACAACCCTTCTTCCCTGAAAGCCAATCAAACACTTGAACAGTAGAGCTGCACTTGCTGCTGCTCTCCCATCCCACAGCTTATGACATACTTGGCTGACCACTGAAGCAGGACACCCCTGACAGAGTTGAAACACCATGTTTTAAAGATAAATAGAGTTAAACTACCCCAGTCTATTTATCAAGCAGAAGCTCCAACCACCAACATCGTGTTCTGCCATGCACCAAGCTACTGCCAGGGCTGAGGCACTGCAGCACAGAAAGTCACCGACCTTCCGGGCCAGCTGCAGGTGCTGCACATCTACAGCGTCCCTCCCCCGCCCTGAGCTGCATCCTGCACTAACAGCGGGTCTCCCCTGACACCACAGTGGAACAGTACACATGGCCAGTTTGTCCCACAATCTTAAACAACTGAAACGTCATAGTCAAGGAAGTACATGGAAAAATGATGCTGACTTGCAAGGAGATGTGAGATTTTCTTTATTAATCAAACAAGTCACAAACTGATTTACAAATTCTACTACTCATCTGAAGTGTATTTCTTTGTTCTGATATGTTCTGTATGACCTACAAAATTGTTTTTCAGTACAATGTAGTGGAAAACATCCAGAAAGCAATGTTTCACTGTGGATCAGTCACTTCCTAGTTTTTTGTAACTAATACAAATGGGGATGTAACTAACAACAAATGAACAAAAGAACTGTGCTCATCTGCAGGCATTTAGGCCCACAATACACTTCAACCTAAAATCCAAGTTACATTCTTGCAACACTCCTACACTGTCAAATAGCAAGGCTTCAAGAGGGGCTCTGCTCCCTGCAGGAGGCCTGTCAACAATCATTAGAATCACCACCTCACATTTGAACTTTTCTTTTTTAATGTCAACATTCTACTATCACATCCAAAGTTTTGTTTACACATCATCTTAATTCAACAACCACTAGCAGAAAATAAGCTTTCAAAGTAATTATAATATTCAGAGAACAATTTCGTAGGCATATTCCCACAACTGTGCTAGAAGGTTGAACTAACAGTGGAACAGAACTCTGCTTTCAGTTCCCTTGAAGTATTGAGTTTCATTATCACAATTTCAGCTGCATAAATCCATTCTCCATCGCTAAATCACCAGTGCTAATTATACATCTGAATCTCATCATTCTTCCAAAAAACTCTGGTTATTGTAAGTACATATGCTCTGCCATGAAACTCTTCTGTCAAGAGTTAAGGGAGCAAATTCTCGTCTTGTAGTTAGTATACAATCTGAAAACCTCTCTCCTGCTCTGTGTTTCCCACAGTTTATTACTTGGGCTATTCTTCATTTCAAGGCACTACAGGATTGACTTTCTGTCTTACAGCTGCAATTTTAGTTTCAGTAGCTACATTTCTCATTTAGTTACAACCACTAAGCTACATGCCTGAAATAGTATTTTGGATATGAACCACTTTCGAGTTTGGGGATTTTTTTTACAATGTATTGTTTCACATACATATTTACAAAAATCTTGTTTGATAGAGAAGATTCAGCTCAGACATAATTTGTGGTTAAGACACCTAAAATACCTGTCCATGGGTGCTGGTGCAGATATAGACAAAAAAAAATCTACTCTAATCAGTGACTCGGTTAATCCTAAAATAGACGTGTTCAATGGCTGATCAACCTTAATGTCATGTTTTCTGCTACATCACTTTCACCTGCAAACTTCAAAATACATGACCTGTACTGGTGCTAGAAAGGAACTCGAGCTGCTCACCCCCTTCTCCTTTCTGCCTACAGCATTATTGAGCTTCTGTCCAGAGCAGCACACAGGATGGTTGGTCCCAAGGACAGCTAAGTATGCTGACAACTCATTTTCTGTATCATCATGCCCCCAACAACTGCACAGGCTCATGGAATCATAACTCCACTTAGTCCATATCTTCCACTTTTAGCATACAAAAAATTTTAAGAAAGAAAACCTGTAGGATAAACTTTAGTCCTCATATCAGCACAGGAACCAATCTTTATCTAATACTATGTCTATGCCTGAATTTCAAACTATTTCTATGCTAGATGGCTGTAGCATTAAGAGTTAGCTCAGAGGCTTTTCCTGCCATCAGATCATACCAGGTTATCCAAGTAGTGGTACCACTCACTGATGGACTGACTAAACCACTTAACTGCTTCCAGGGAAATCCTCTATCTATCCTGAAAAACTGGTTGTACAATGATTTGTCACTGCTGGTGCCCTGCACTCTGCCTGTAAAAAACACATGACCGGTGCTGCAGAGGATGGGAAGGATCTCATTCACCCAGTGCTCTGCAAAAGAAAGGTGTCAGCTGTCAGGCCCGCCCAGAGGGAAAACACCACAGACCCTCAGCGTTCCTGAACTGAGAGCCTCAGGAATGGGCCTGCAACTGCTGTCTGCAGAGGTGGGAAAAGACAGGAAGGAGATGTACCTAAGGCAATGGCCTTGGAGCTAGGGCCTGCTACACTAGAGGTAATTTCTGGCCCAGCACTTTGCCATGCAAAAGCCTCCACAGGAAGTATATTATTATTTCAGGGCGTCAGGCGGTATTTTCTCCATTTTTTCACAATGGAAAAAATTAAAAATAGCACTGCATGTTACTTGCACATATATATGAAAATGTCAAACAAAGAAATTGCATTCTATGCTGTCATTTGAAAGTCTCAAAAATGTCACTTCACACAAAACCAAGAAGAATCAAACTCTGAATGTAATATAATATCTTGACCAAAAAGCTGGAAACATAGATAGTGTTTCAGGACTAATATTTTTCACTTTCCTCTTCCAAAGCAACATGAAAGTATTAGTGGGAACTAAATTGTTTATATCTCTTTATGCTACACTATGGCATACACCTGCTTATCACACAAATTACTTATCATAAGCTTCGATATGAGAAGGCAAGCACTAAAACTTTCAGTGCTCACATTCAGTAGATCATGTAACAGATATATTTTGCAATGTGGAAACTATTCCTGAAAACACAGTGCTTGTTTTAGTCTCACCTATCACACTATTTTACTAACAACACCCTGGAACTCGGTTGTTTTAGCCTGATGAGAACAATAACACATCTGACACCAGGATTCACCATGGGAATCCTCTACTCAAGTGTACTTAAGGCCTAGCTTAGCTAAGAGCTATCTCAAGGAGATATGGCTACAAATATGCACTGCTCTTCCTCATCGTACCTCACTGTATCTAAAACAGTGTGTTGTTGCATCTCTTCTGTAGACCTCAGAGACTGATAATCAAATTTCTACACATGGAATGATTTTTCTCAGGTAACACACACTACACTTGCACATTCAATTCCCACCTGAAACTTTATCTGAATATAAGCTTATACTATTTACTTGCTCTTCTATTTCTATTTGAGTGAAACCTTAAAACTGGGTAGTTCTGGATAAGCAAGGAAATGTAGTAAAAGTTAAATTATTCTGACAGCTAGACTTTGTTTCTCAATAGGAAATGTCATTTGAAAGCACTGGTCAAAACTATTTTTAATGCACTTCGCTTTCTACTTTATAATAACCACTCATCTTCCCTCCACTTTTGTTAACACATTGCAAGTAAACTTCCATTTTACCTTCAAAATACCAGACATGCCAATTTCCATCAAGCTTGCTTCTATTTGCAAAGCTCCAACACTAGTGTAAATAATGAAGTCCTTCTCACCAAATAATTATGTTGATTTCATTAAAATGTTCATCTAACCCCAAATCTGAATGGAAATTAAACAGATGCACTCCCTTAATGTCACATAGACTGTAAATGTTATACTTTACCTCCATGTCTGAGAGTGGCAGGTTCGTTCTGGATGGCTGCTTGGTCCTTGGTGCCTTTGGTGGCCTCTTAACTGGCTGGTTACTGGCTTTGGGGACAGTTTTACCAGCTGATACAACTGCATAAAATCTTGATGATGTGTTCCTAAGCTTTTTGATCCACTCTGTATTGAGCCTGTAGTTTTCCATCATTGTCACCCCCAAACGTCTCCAGGATGAGAAAAAACCCTCCCCATTCTGATAATAAACATTTCTTTCCAAAGTGGACAGAAATCCTTGGAGAAAATGCCGATTCCTGACTTGCACACGTTGACTCGTCAACCAAGGCAACACAGGTTTCAGTGCATACAAATCCCAAGACTTTGCTGTTCTGTGAGCTGCTCTTTCAACTTCATTATCCAGCTTTAAAAGCAGATATCCAGTTTTGTTAAAGCTTTGGCACTGGCATATTGTTGTTAAAGTGTGGAAAGATCTCATCTGACGCTGCAGAAGTTTCAGTCTCATTTCTTCCCTTTGAACTGTATTTAAAACAAACAAACAAACAAAATCACCAGTCAACATTTTGGAAAGAAATAGTATTGTTTCCCTCTTATCTAAAAGGTGGTCCATACTACTCTTGCATGTGTTAGAACTCCCTAGCACATGACATTGGTGGGAATAGAAACACTTTTTTGATCCTATGGAAACACTCTAAGATCAAAACACATCTGTGTGCTTGCAGCAAGTGGTGAAAAAACAGAACTGGCTGCTGTGTCAATATGCAAGAGGGCATCTTTTCCTTTTGCTGCTCATTCTGTGCAGCAGCCTGCACTTTCAGCAACTCCACTGCTTGTGTGCAAGCAAGCTCACACGTTAAAGAGGACACCAGACGCTGTGAATCACCGTGATACATAATAAAAACAACAACTAGATTACTACGTGGTTGTACGGGAATGTCACCTGCAGAACACACACGCTGCCCAGCCTCAGCTCCAGCTGCTGTGCCATGAACAGCCGAGCACAGATCCAGCCCCAGCCATCTGTCCTGAGCACAGCACAGAGAATGGAGCCGACTCACAGCCTTGCTCCTGCCAGTACACCCTGGTGCTCCAGGGACCACCAGCCCTGCCAGCACAGCCACCCTGCAGCCTGAAACACAACAGTGTCCTTATGCTGGCAGCTCAGACTAAAAGCAACCCTTCTATATTTGCACTACATTGTGTGAGCTAACAAAATAAAAATATTCACAAACTCAATACCACAGTGGATGTGTTTCATTTGCTGAAAAAACTCAGCGACAAGTCCCTACACTCATCTGGTTTTCTTAATCAAGAACACTTCCCTTATAACACAAAATCCATCCTCCACAAGTTATTAACAAAAAGTCATTAAGCTGCCTAGTTCAAAAATCTGCCCATTTTAGAATATTTTTCAAAAACTGAAGGAGGATCTTTAATACTAACAATACATTTAACATAATAGTTCAAAAAAACATTTTATTTTAAGAGTAAATCATAGTGTGTGTTGTGGAACAAGTCCTCCATCCTCACAAGGATACCCAGATGAACTGATATTGGGCTTAACTTTGTATCTTTACATGCTTTTCACTTATACATTTTTGCCCAATTTAGAAGCCTGTTATTGGCAGACTTACTGGGATAAATTATTATCTTCATTTTAAACTTGTTCTGCATTTAAAAAGCAACCCTGTCCAGGACAAGGCATATTTACCTTTTTAAAGGCCTGATACCTCCTGGATAAAGGAAGAGCTGAGAGAAACTCAGCAACTGCAAACCAGGTGGTGGAGAACTGGGGCAAGGGGTAAAAAGTCTCCAGCAGTGTGTGTGCTAAGTGGCAGAGAGAGATTTAAAATGGTTTTGTTGGCGTTCCTAGCCAACAAAACGTCATCCTGGATCAGTAATGCCAGGAACCATTCTTCAACTGTACAGGCTTACAGTAAGTTTCAAGGAAAGAGGGATCATATAGACTGAATTCCACCGAGGGGCCTGAGCGTCAGACCTGCGGCACCAGAGGCACCAAGCCAGAAGGAGCGGAACACAGCAATCCAAGAAGAAAGCGGGACGAAGGGCGACCACAACAGGGCAGGAGGAGCCGCCTCCGAGCAGCAGGCCGGCAACTGGGATTTATTTTCCAGCGTCTCTTCAGCACACGGCACACTTTAGCCACGCCCGCCGCCTCCGCGGCCGGGAGGCCCGGCTTGCTGCGGCACCGCCATCGACATACACGGACAGGGCGGGCCCGCGCCGCCGGCGGGCGGACCGGACCGGCACAGACCAGCCCGCGAGCTCCGCCCGGCCTCCGCAGTCCGGATGCATCCAGACTGCCCCTGGGGCCCGCCAGCCCCGGACGCAGAGGACACCCCGCCCCGTCCCTGCCCCCGCACTGCCGCCCTTCGCTCCAAGGAAAAAGCGGCCGCACCGCCCCCGGCTGCGCCCCTGCGGCAAGCGCGGGGGGCAGGGAGGCAGGGGCGCGACGGCTCCGCTCCTATTGGCTGCGTGCCGGGGGGCGGGCACAGCGGGGAGCAAGCCGACCAATCGGAAGGCGAGGCCGCCCCGCCCGCGCGGGCCCAGCAAGGCCGCCGGAGCCGCCCCCGCCACTCACGGGCGCCCCAGGCGGGCGCGGAAGGCAGCGCCGCCATCGCGCGGGGGGCCGGGCCCCCCCCAATCCCGGCCCGCGGCCTCCGCCAGTGCTGCGTCACCCCCGAGCAGCGACACCTGAACACGGGGGTGGCGGGGCGGCCGCCCGGCAGCCGTCCCACTCCGGCCGCCACAACGGCCTCCTGGGGTGGTGGGAGACACGGGGGTGGGAATCGCCCCTCACGCCCACAGACGGGGCTCGCCCTCGCCCCAAAACTGCGCCCTCCTCGCGACGAATGTCGCGGGGCCCTCCCCGCCGCGGCAGGACCGGAGCAGGCGGGAAGGGCGGGTGAGGCCGCCTCGGCTCGCCCGCACCCTTCCCGCGGGCGCTCCGGCAGGCCCCGCCGCCCCGGGATTGTCCCAGGAGGGGCTGCGCCCCGCTCCCCTGCCGCAGTGCGGGCTGCGCCGCAGCTCTTGAACTGTATT